CACACACACACACACACACACACACACACACGCACGCACGCACGCGCGTACACGTACACGTACACAATAATAATAGTTTCTTAAAAAATAATGTAGTGGGACTTGGTGGTGTACACTTTTAATCTCAATACTTGGGAAGCAGAGGCAGATGATTCTCTGTGAGTTTGAAGACAGCCTGGTCTACATAACAAGTGTCAGGCTAGCCAGAGCTATATGATAAGTTTGAACACCCTGAACCTCAGCAGAAGGAATTATGAGTGGTAAAGGATAAAATTACCAGTGTCCTGAGACAGGCAATAGAACAGGTAGGAAAGTCCATAGCATTTATGCTCATTACAAAGCAGCATCATGGTCTATAGATACTGAACAGACATTTGAACCTGGGCAATTTTGAGTCCAGACAAGCATTCAAGCAGCAGTAACATAGTGGTCAAGAGCAAGGATGTGTGGAGTTTCTGGATTTGAACCCTGGCACCACACCTGCCCATGCTCAGTGTCTCCTTTTTTTGTAATGAGGTAGCAGTAGCCATACCTGTCTCACAGAGTTGAAGTGAACACTGGGGTGAACACTTATATAATACTTAGGATATTGCCTGGCACACAGGAAGCACTGTGTATAGTAAGAATGAATTAGTGTTTATAGCCATACAGAATGTTAATGAGATTGGATCTTGTAACCAGCTACCTTGTAAGTGAAATAAGTGAGAATCCCTCAAAATAAATTTATAAGGGAAGCATATGATGTGATATATTTAACTAAAAGACCTAACCTAGCTCTGTATACATACATGCTGCAATCCTAAAATTCAGACAGAACTCATTGCTAGTTTGGTTTCAATGTCTCTTATTGTAGTGCTACAGGTCTCCATTTTCTCTTAATGTATTCTAATTAACGTTTGTAGCACTAGTTTATGTGTGTGGGTTTTTTTCTTAAGGTAAATAACCATTTCAAGAGACTTCAGTCAACATTAATACATGTTTTTATTTATCGGTAGCAATTATATTCCAGAAGTGAGAATCATGTCAATTCCCAACCTTCGCTACATGAAGGTTAGTACGATACTTATCAACACACAGACTTGATTAGTCAGTGGTCTATGCATGCCTGTATGTGGGTGGCTGTGTGGGGGGGATAGGATGATGTAGGGAAGGTTCAGGAAAAGGGCAGTTTAAAATGATAAAGAGATGGAGACTTTGTAACTTTAAACTGGGATTCTTGCCAGTAGCATGTTGGATGTGTAAGAAGCAGGGTGCATATTCCATAAAGGTACAAAAGTGGGGAAAAAAAGATGGTGATACCGGGTACCATAGGCAACTTTCTCTTGTTGCCAGTAGGAGCTTCTCTTATTGATTCAGATATGTGTGCACAGTACCAGTGGTTGACTAGGTTCTTCTGAACTATAGCCCCATTCTTCCACGGGTTCCTCTTCTAATGAATGATTGACTGTTCAGCCCAGCCTCTTTGGCTCTTAGCCTTCATGCTGCTCATGAAAAGATTTACAGCATTCTTTTATTTTACCATTCTCAAGAGTAGCAAATGGCCATATTATCAGGTTTTGGAACTCTTAAAAATTTTATAGTTTTAATGTGTCATTTTCCCCCTACCCTTGATACTACTTCTGTCTAGCCTATGGCTATGATGTTTTATTTAGGATGTTTTGGTTTTTTCCTTTTCATTCCCTAAGCAGCAACTAGAGTAGGACAAGAACTGCAAACTTTAAAATAATCATTTAGATAATAAACCTTTCTCAGAGTTTCTAGGCCTAGTAACTAGAATCTGTCCTGCTTCTTTAGTGAAATAGCCACTGCAGAAGGTATGTTGCTAACACAAAAATAGAAAGGTCAGCAAACATTCTTAGGATGCTCTGCTGTAAAGGAACGAGAAATGTTATTGCTCTGGAGAAAGGGGGTGATTTTGTGATTCATTTTGTGTAACACCTAAGAAAGTGGACCTTAGTGGGAGTGTGGCCTATGTCTGAAAGATACTTTTCTTATTCTCCAGGAGAGCCAGGTCCTCCTGACTCTTACAAATCCAGTAGAGAACCTGACCCATGTGACTCTGTTGGAGTGTGAAGAGGGGGACCCTGATAATATCAACAGCACTGCTAAGGTAAGGGCATTTGTCTCCTCATACAGACCCTGACTGACATCGCCTGCAGTGGCTTCCTTGGACATGGCTTAAAACCATCCATACTCTCTCATTTCTGTGTATGATCCAGTGTTCTGATTTTATCTTGTCCTCAAACACACAGTCACTGCCTGTCCAGTCTCATTGTTCTCACTTGGTCTCAGACAGGAACCTCTACCTGACCCCTCACTCTTTACTACTTCAGTACTTCAGCTTCATCTCAGCCCATCACCTGTGTGCCACCAGGCTGTTCTTCCTGCATCAGCCGCTCAACCTGCTGATCACATGCAGCTCCCTGACTTCATGATAAGTCCACCTTCTTTGGTGCAGCTCCTTGGTGATGTCTGCTTTCTGTTCTTCAGTGTCCTTCCTCCAGATCCTCAAATTTAGCATTTCCAGGTGCTGCTACAGGGATAGCTGCACTGATGTGTGTAAATGCTCCTGCTGGGGAGCTGCATGTACTGCTCATTTTTACCTGAGCTGCTCCTTCCTGCTCCATCTCCCACTGTACACACCCTTCCCGTGCAGTTTAACACTCATTCTTGAGGACTTATGAGATGTCATCTCCCTTTAGAAGCTGGTGTCTCTCCTACATTCTCACTATTTATGTAGAGTACAAATAGCAGTGACTAAACATTAAGATAATTTCGACTGAATAAATGAAATACAGCTTTTTTATATTTTGCTACTCAAGTTGATGGAACTTTTTAAATTTAACATATATGTATTTATTTGTATATGTGCACACTGTATGCACATAGGCACATGCTTCGAGGTTAGAGTCAGTTCTGTGCTCTACCTTGTAGGTCCAGAGGAACTAACTCAGGTTGCTGGGCTTGGTGGCAAGCACTATGACCCACTGAGCCATCCCACCAGTCAAGTTGATGGAAATTTTAGAAGAACTTGATGTAGTTCTGACTCACAATTTATAGAAGGAATGCCTGTATGTTACGATAAATCTTTCCGCCAAAGCCGCCTGAGCCCTACCACCATGTGGGTGGTCTCCGCCAGCAGCCCCGAGTTCTGCCCGCCACGTGGATGGACAAAATAATACAGAGACATATTAGGTACAAAGCTGCATGGCCATTCACTAGGATTCTCATCTGTTAGCTCAGTCTTAATTATCATAAACCTATATATTTTATAAGACTTATCTTATAGAGGATGCCTTTCGTTGGCGCCCTCTCTTGCCAGTGGCTTACATCCTGCTGCTCGAGGAGGCGAAGGGGAAGCACAGACACTTCCTGTTTCCTTTGCTTAAATATGAGTCTCCTTGCTATGTCATTTCTGGCCTGGATCACCACTTCTCTACTACATTTCCCAGAATCCTCTTTGACTCCTAGTCCTGCCTAACTTGCTGCCATTGGCCAAACAGTATTTTATTCAACAATCAATAAGATAAACATATACAGAAGTACTTTCCCCATCACCTGTATCTCCAGCTGAATTCAAAGAATATCACTAGAGAATTTCCTAGTGGGTTTTTCTTTAATGATTTCATTTACTAGCATCACCTCCAGAAAGAGATGACACATATCTTGACATTTGTCTTAAAATGATGATGATGATGATGATGATGATGATGATGATGATGATGATGATGATGATGATAATGATAAGTAGGTCTAGTTGGGCTAAAAACAGGGTGCAGCCTCGATCAAGGCTTTAATGTGGTCCCCACCCCAGCCCCAACACACCAACACACACACACACAGTCGCTGTACTTAGGAATGTGGCTGGTGGTTTCTGCTGGTCTCTGAGATAACAAGGTATGGACCAGTTGCAACATAAGAATCTAACCTGTGCTCCACAAGCATAAATATATAAATATATCCAGTGTTCAGTGTCAGAAAGTCCTTATGTTTTCAGGGAGTAAAAAAAGCGGTTGGTTTCAAATATTCCAGGAATTATCTTTAAAATAATATAGAAAAGGGCAGGGCATACACACTCCTCTCCCCTTCAGAAGTAACACATTAAAATAAGAAAAAGGAAAAAAGGGAGAGGGAGAGATGCAGTGCAGCCCTGTGCCCTGGGCTCCTTGAATTCCCTTCAATAAGCTACACTAGTTAGTTACTTCTTGTTGCAGCAAAACAACTGCCAACTGGCAACCACAAATTCTTGACAGAGCAACCTAAGGAAGCTTATTTTGCCTGCCAGTGGGAGGACTCAGTCATGATGCCTGGCCTAGGTCAGTTGGTCACAGATGAAAGATGGTGCTCAGCTTACTTTTTAATCTAGTCCAGGACCTCAGTCCACAGAATGGTGCCACCCACAGTTAGGGTAGGTTTTCACTCTACTCAGGCCAATCCAGAAATTCATCCTCAGCCATGCCAGTAGGTTGTCTCTCTCGGGTAAGCATTAGCCATCCCACAGCCCCCCTGAAATGGGCACTCACCTGACTTGTCGTTTCCCTTCTTCATCTTCATGCTTAAGTTCCTCAGAGTGTGTTAGACTGGTAAGGAGTATAAATGTGTCCAGAAACGTGATGCTCACCTTGGTCTAGATAGTACTGCTGGAGTCTGTCTCCTTTGCTCTCAGGTGGTGGTGCCTCCCAAAGAGCAGATTTTAGCTGCCAAGGATGCAGCAGCAGAGTATGATGAACTGGCAGAGCCCCAGGACTTTCAGGATGACCCTGAGTAAGTGGATCTTTCTGTGACCCTCAGACCACATTCAGCCTGTTCAGGAGCCTGGATTCGTCCTTTTGTATTACTGTGACCAGATGTGTGACTGGAACAGCTTAGGAAGAAAAGGTTAACTAACTCCAATTTCAGAGGGATTTTAGTTCATCAGGACAAATAGGCTTCACCTATGCCTTTGACAGTAGGGGCATGAGGTGAGGCCACAAGCTAGTCATATGGTACAGAGAAAGCTCAAAAAACTGAACTGGAAATGGGCAAGTAACCTTCAAATGTGTGCCTTTGTGTGCATTTCTTCCTCCAGCTAGGCCCCACTTCATACTAGCTCCATGGCCTCCAAAATAGCACCACATGCTAGAAACTGAACATTGAAGCATGAGTTTGTGAGATACTTCAAAGTCAGACCTTAAAAATGGACACATACATGTCTGTTTCTTTGCCTGGGTTTTAAAACCTAATTTTGTTCCTATTTATAAAATAACTACTATAAAGAGCTGGACTGATGGCTCAGCAGTTAAGAATTTCCTCTGTTCTTCCATAGGACCCAGATCCAATTCCAAGCACCCAAATGGTAGCTCACAACTGTCTATGACTCCAGTTCCCGGGGATCTGATGCCCTTTTCTGGCCTCTGTAGGCATCAGGCATGTACATGATGCGCAGACTTACAAGCAGGCAAACCTATACATGTTAAATAAAATTTTACAAAAGGAAAATATAAATAGCTTAACATTTTCTGAAGAAACTTCTTTGCTGGTCAGCAGGATGGTGGTCCCAGCTGAGGTTCACATTGTGCCATGAAATGACTAGGAGGTTTGTTGATTCTGTTGACTTCTCATCTGTTTGCCTAATACTGTGCTTTTCTTTCCATAGCATTGTAGCTTTCAGAAAAGCCAACAAAGTGGGCATCTTCATCAAAGTCACCCCACAGCGTGAGGAAGGCGAAGTGACTGTGTGCTTCAAGATGAAACATGATTTTAAAAACCTGGCTGCCCCCATCCGCCCAATGGAAGAAAGTGACCAGGGCACAGAGGTCATCTGGCTCACTCAGCATGTGGAACTGAGCTTTGGCCCTCTTCTTCCTTAAAGTCACCTGGTGGGCAGATGACACTGACAGCTGTGTCCCCAGCCACAATTCTGTAACAGTATGGAAGCTGCTGCTTCATTAGACGTGTTTATAAAGATGTACCCCATCACTACTGAACCGAGGCCAGGCCAGGACTGGGAGCACAGGGTAACTGCTGTTCCACTTGCTCTCTTTGTTGATACCAGTAAGTCTGTGTCTCCCTCCCTGAGCCCTGCACGTTGAGTAACAGCCTAGCTCCATCCCAGTAAAAGGGGTGGCTGTTCCTCAGAGGGACATTAGATTTACTCCCTGAGAAATGGGCCATGTACCTGTCACGGTTTGACTGAAAGAACCTAGAATGGTAATTCAGAGCAGACCTGCTATTCATGCCCCAGCATTGGTCTCTGTGTTCCAGCTGCTGTCCGAATTCCATTAAGGATAACTAGTAATTATAACCCTTCACTTGCCATGACTTTCATTTGACCATTGACTTCCATTGGACAGAGAAGTAGGATTGTCATGGTGTCTTTAACTTTGTGATGACAGGACAGGACTTCCTTAAGGCACTCCATTTGTCTCTTGTAAAGGACTACAGAATGCCTACCAATTGCTGTTCATTTTCCTCAGTAGTACATGGGACTTTAAGGATTTGAGTTGCAAGCAATTACATGTCATGAAGTTCAATTTGTTTTAATAATACCATAACATCCAGAGACTAATGCTGCCACAGGGAGCATTATAGCCTTTATAGATTTCACTCTCAGCCCTTCTCTACTCTGGTTTTGTTTGTTTGTTTTTCTTAATTTTCTTTCCATTTATTTTTTCACATAGACTCCCTCCATGGATCTCTGGCCTGGAACTCCATATGTATACCAAACTAGCCTTGAACTCACTTGCTAGGATTAAAACATTTACCACCACGCCCAGCTCTCTGCTCTGTCCTAGAATTCAAGAAATTGCTTTAACGGTGGGGGGCTTAAAAAGAAAGCCAAGACAGTTTAAGTGGACATACTCACTTCTGGGATTCAGAGAACATTTTTAAAATTCAGATTTTTAGCATGATACAAACTAATGTTCTTTCCTCTGAGTTGAAGGAGAAATTAACTATCAATCTCTTAAATCCAAAGCTGGATAATAAGTAAAAGAACCTTTCCCTTTGTTGGGTATAAGACTTCTTTCTCCTGCTGTATCAAGTGAGACCATTTTGATTGGAAGCCATAGCAGCTCAGCAAGTAACCAGAATGCTGGCCCAACTCCAGACATGCTGTTTTCCTCAAATACTAATGTTCAGTTGCAAACCTTAATTTCTATAATGTTTTCTAAAACGTGTTGACCGAGTAGACCAGCTGCACTACTTTTCCTTAAAGCATTCCTAGCACATGGCCAACAGACCTTGGAAGAAAAAAAATTCCTGTTTACAAACCCTGCTTTGGTTTTCATTTATGTCTTTAGGCATTTTTGTCTGGTTTGGTTTGAAGGGATAAAGAATCTGGAATACAGATAGAAAGTAAGTCTTTGTTAGTTCCCCTTAAAAGAGGAAACTAAACTACAGAAGGAGTGGTTTTCCATAACTTCACAAAGCCTCAAGTTAAAGCCTACTGTGAAACACTACTCAATGTCTGCCAGTGGGTGGGGGAGGGGGCTGGGCGTCAAAGTGCAGATAGCTTCATAAGCCTACACATTGTGGAGACAGGAACAGTTGTCCTTCTGTATGTTTTTATGCCATGAAACTGATACTTAATTCCTAGAAAAATGTTGACATAATGGATCTACTCCCAAGTGATAAACACAAAAACACTTTTGAATACACAATTTCTGTTTAAGAAGTCAAGTTAACTTACAAATAACAGTTGTTGGCTGTTTCAAGGTGAATTTAGCTCAAGTTGGTTTGGTATTCTTAGAAAAGGTTCAGTATCTGTGACTGGTGAAATAGGATTTGTGTCTATCGCCCTTCTTGTATTATTAGATCTGGTGCAGGGTTTTTATTACTGGTCAGTGCACACCAGGACACAAGAGTTGGGCGTCTTAGCACTTGAAGCTACAATTTGGAAACTTAAGGCTAAGTTACTTTGGGTTTGTGAATGGATTTACACACCAAAAGTTTCTTTTGTTCTGAGCATATGTATAAGCATACTGCACTAAATGCCATTGCATCTTTGTAATAAGCATCCTTCTTGGTCCCTTTTGGGAAGGAAAGGCACTCCTTGACTTATGAATAACAGGTTTCTGTTTTGCCTTATTGCTTAATGTAGTGAAATAAAGCAGACAAAAGCTTGAGTGTGTCTTCTGTTTGATTTCACATATACTGGTTAGAAGCTGCACGGCTCGGGGCTTAAAGTTGGTAGGTGAGACTCAGTGGTAGGCGCCCTTCCATTTCTCTTTGTTATAGAAGAGGGCAGCAGATCCTCCGGAGCTGGAATTTCGGGTGTTTCTGAGCCTCCTGCTGGGAACTGAACTGTCCTCTGCAAATGCTCTCTCCTGCCCCTCCCTTCATTCTTTATGTAAATTAACTTGGTGGAGTAATTCATCAAGCCCTGCCTTGTGGTGGCACACGCCTTTAATGCCAGCGCTAGGTAGGCAAGGCCAACCTAGCCTATATAGTGAATTCTAGGACTGCAGAGAGACCCTATCTCAAAAAAAAAAAAAGGTAATTCCCTGGAACATACAGGTGGATGTACCAGCATTTATCTCCTGGCTCATTACTTGTAAAGATATCCTTTAAAATATTCAAAATGGGGGTTGCTGTTGGATCTCCTATCCCAGCTTTCCCTACCTCCCTGTCTATTGACCATTCAGCTTTTTTTTTTAAAGATTTTATTATGTGTACAGTGTTCTGCCTGCATGTATCCCTGCAGGCTAGAGGAGGGCACCAGATCTCATTACAGATGCTTGTGGGCCACCATGTGGTTGCTGGGAATTGAAATCAGGACCTCTGGAAGAGCAGCCAGTGCTCTTAACCTCTGAGCCATCTCTCATCTCCCCCCCCCCCCCCCAGCTTCCTACACCAAACCCCTGTCTTATAGCTTAAGAAGCCTAAAGAAAATAGAGGATAGGAAAGCCATGATACACTGAAGGGAATCATCAAAACAACACAACCCTGACCTAGTACTGTTAAGTAGATCCTTCAAACTCCACACAATAGGGCTCAACAGGACATAATCCACTTTAAATCCAGAAGCATCTGTATAAGGACAGAACATAAATCAGTCATTGCTGTAGG